TATAGAATAACTAAAATGATTTATTTTTAAAAATTGTCAGGTGTCTCTATACTTTTTACCAGTGAGTGTATATATATCATATGCCGATCAACTATTGTAATAATTTATAAAATAAATTTGTAATGAAAAATAAATATTTACTGCGGTATTCAATTTCCTCAATGTATCATTATTTTATACAAGATGCGGATATGTTCAAAAGTTATATACACATGAAAAAAATATTGGTAAAAATCGCGTTGCTTTATTGATTGTAATAAAAATTGAAAGGAATCTATCTATTGTTTCTATACTATTGCTTACACTATAAGTTTTTCGTTTGTCTAAACTGTCTATGCTAACACAATATCTCAATAATAATTTTTAGTCTGGTTCATTGTTATTGATATTCTGGATAGACTATCAGTTATATTTTTTTCGAACCTGAACAAAAAAGGCAAAGTTTATGTTTCATCCAGAAGTTGATGGTTGTACGTTGACACGTGTGTAATTCTCGATAACTATAAAGGGGTACAATGTTCACTTCCGCTTATCAATTATCAATTACTAAAAGGGCGGACAATGAGTATGAAAAATGATATATCAATTGATTGCTTTTTCAAAAACTTTCCCACATGCAAGTAGCTAAAGATGTCAACCTTTTTTTATGACGGTCACTTAGCGGAATCAGCAGAATTAAAAGTCCAGGAACAAGTGGTATGTGATTTTTAACTTCGCTTCAAATCACTTGAGGGTGGGAAAGGTCTCTTATCATATACTCCAGGAATTTTAAGTTGATAATATATTGGTTATGTATGAAATAATGACATAATTAAAAATCGATTGCATAATGTCAGAAATTCAATGTAATAGTGAAAAACCAAATATGAACCTTAAGGAAATCCTTTATTTTTACTTAAATTTTTTATTTTTATTGCTTGCGTTTTTCTTTTCTCCTTTTATTGTTTGCATAATATTGCTTGCGTTTTTCTTTTCTCCTTTAATTGTTTATATAATTTGTATTGGATTATTGGATTTGGTTCCCTTTGGCTCTGGCGTAAACTATTCTTACTTCTAACTTCCGAGTACGAATTCATATTTTCTCTCTTTATATAATTGGTAGTCTTATTGTCTAACGAACTTTTTCTAATAGCAAACGAAAAATCAACCAGAAAAATCAACAAATGGAATTATTACAGGTATGTTTTTTTTTTGATTAGTTAAGAAATAAAGATACCACTCACCATATATCATTTTTATACCAAATTCTATCTATTAAGCAAGATTTATAACATGATTCATGTGTATTTCAGACGAAAGGATACGACAGTGAAATCGAGACATTTCTGATGTCTTCGGATATTTCACATATTATTATTCCTGATTGTAATCTACAGCAGTTTGAAAAAATTGCATCTGCGAATCCTCGCCCTCTTCGAATGAATCTTATTGAGGGACTTCTTGAAATAATGCCAGTTCACAACAAATATAGTATGTTATGTTTTATATATTATATTGAGTTAGAATGTCAATGGATATCACTGAATTATAGTGAAAAATTATTATTAGGTGAAAAGGAATCAGAAATTATTCGTCAAGTTGCTAACTGGAAAAATGCAAACAAGAACCTGGTTGGACGCTGTACTTCTTCGCAGGTATGTTACGGAAACACGATATTTCTTCTTTATGTTTTTAACACTGCAATTATGTTAATTTTAGGGAGCCTTTAGATTACTTAATCTGGAAAATCCTAATAATCCTGATAAACC